ATTGGCCATGACTGTATAAGCAAATTTTTCAAAAGCTTGTTTTATATTTGATGCTGCAAGTTATCTGCGATTTCCTGCCTTGATAGGCTGAATCTGATCTGAACACTTGCAGAAGATTATCTGAAAGGGTTACAGTACAACAGAGCTTTGAGTTTGTGTCTGCGATAATTAAAGTGTGCTTTAAGTTGGAGACACTGTTAGCTAAAAGAGATTATCTGACCTATGGAATATCAATAGGACTGAAATCAATGGAGCTTAAAAGTGCTAACTTCTGGCAGCATTACGCTCATTGTAAAATATCCTGAATGCCTTGCAGACCTCTCCTAATCAAAAGGCACAGTTTCCACAATAGACTACTGAAACTGAGCCTCTAACCTCTATCCTGCTAAGGTAGAGGCTGCTAGGAAAGCCTGCTTCGCTGTCTGGATAAACAAAGCATCCAGTCAGCAGGTGGAACTTGTATAGTACGCAACCTACCCAAAATTGGCCACGATGATCGGCCTCCATCTAGCATTTCTTGTGTCCAATTTGCAGCATTTTAAAAATCAAAAGTGGAGGCTGTCTGCCGGGATCTTGCACCCTATCTGAAAACAGTGGATTGAGCTGAGATGTCCAGCGCAGCACCTTGTTCACTGAGAATTACTCAGTTTCAACCTGGGACGTCCACAGAGGTAGCTGCCAAGCCACCACCTCCTCCTTTGACCCTTGACCCTTGCCCAGCCTGGCTAATCAGCTGCCAGGCTGGTGCTAACTGAATGGGCCACTGAAATAATAAATGGGTCTCTTAGGGAACGCTCATTTGATCCATTAGAAAGAAACCGAGCTTGGCGGCGAACAACATGGGCAATTATAGGCCTGTCGCCAATGTTTCTTTTCTCACAAAGGTAGTTGAGAGGGTGGTGGTCAACTAGCTTCGGGTTCTCTTGGATGAAACCAATGCCCTGGATCCATTTCAGTCGGGCTTCAGGCCGCGCCATGGCATGGAAATGGCATTGGTTGCCCTGCTGGATGACCTACTTAGGGAGGCCGACAGGGACAAAATGTCCTTTGTTGTCTTCCTTGATATCTCAGCCGCCTTTGATACCATCAACCATGGTATCCTCCTGGGGAGGCCGTCTGAGTAGGGGATTGGTGGCCTTGCTCTCACTTGACTCCGGTCCTTCTTGGAGGGTCATCCTCAGAGAGTGCAGCGTGGGGGAGAATATATCAGCCCCGTGGTCCCTCAATTGTGGGGTTCTGCAGGGTTCAATCATTTCTCCAATGCTGTTTAACATCTATATGAGGCCGTTGGAGGGGGTGGTCATCCGGGGATGTGGAGCTTCCTGTTACCAATATGCTGATGACACCCAGCTCTACATCTCCTTTTTTCCCACTCATCTGCAGTGGATGCCATTCTGTCCCTTGGGCTGAGACTGATGCGGAAGCTTCAGATGGTCCACAACACAGTGGCCAGGCTATTAACAGGGGTGAAAAGATTTCACCTTATTTCCCTTGGCCGCTTTAGACTGGCTACCTATCCGCTTTTGCATTGATTTCAAGGTGCTAACTATTACATATAAAGCCCTTAACAGTTTAGGACCTCGATACCTGGCAGAGCGCCTTCTTCCACCCTGTTCTACCCATATCACCAGCTCCAGTCAGGCTGGGCGGCTGAGGGGCCTGACGCTAAGAGAGGCCCGGTGGGAAAAACCAGAAATCGGGCCTTCTCAATAGTGGGCCCTTGCCTTTGGAACAACTTACCTGTAGAGATCCGCCTGGCTCCCTCACTGAGGGCCTTCAAGACTAACTTGAAGACATGGCTATACAGGCAGGCCTTCTCTACAGCCATTACCTAGCCTATCTCCACTTTTCTTCTTTTTCTTTTCTCTCCTTCTCCTTCTTCCTATTCTTTTCTCCCCTCTTTCTTTTTTCCTTTCCCATCTTGGACTAATCTGGATTTTATCTTAGTTTATTTTTTATATTTTATGTAAACCACCCAGAGTAGGCCTGTTCTAGATGGGCGGTATATAAATCTAATAAATAAGTAAGTAACCTGTAAAACATACATTTTCTTGGGAGTAAGTTGCATCGAATGAAGTTAGTTCTGAGCAGACATGCATTCGTATGCAGTATTGATTACAGTGGAGTCTCGACTTACGAACGGCTCGACATACGAACGTTTCGACTTACGAACCGCTCTCATAGGAATATATGGACTCGACTTAGGAACTTAGATGCGAGTTACGAACTCTTTTTTTCCCTTTTTTTAAAGCTAAGTCATCTCAGGTTAAAAGAAAAAAAGAAAAATATATCCCCCTCTAGTGGCAGAAGGTGGAATAGCAGCTTCCCATTAGTTTCTATGGACGAAAAGAGCAGATACGGATTAAATGGTTTTCAATGCATTCCTATGGGAAATGCACATTCTACTTAAGAACTTTTCGACCTGAGAACTGCCTTCCAATACGGATTTTCTTAAGTCGAGACCCCACTGTATTTGGAAACATCAGGAAAATATCTGATTTCAGACACAGAACAGCAACTATAACAGAATGAAAGCTCAGCTGAATACATTCAATATTTGGTGACTGGTGCAAAATAGTAGAAAATAAGAGCTGGTTTCATGCTACAAAGCTTCAGAGAATTTTGAAGGCTTCACAAACCTTTGAAAGGAATGAGCTCATTAAAGATTTTCAGAGACTCCCAGTGCCTTTTCTTTATTTTTCATAGGTTATGTTTATGAGATGCCATTCAAGTATGATTTTGTATGCTCCGCCCCATTAATTATCAATTGCCCTCACTTAATAATGCTGAACTGAAGGAACAAGAGCTTTCATTGTAATTCCAAATCAGCAAATTCTCTTTAAAGAGGGGACCCTTTACTAAAGAACATTCTAGGAAGGCATGACTGTCAAATGAACTAATTAAAATGATTGGCACATGGGGAACTGATGTTTTTTCACCATGAGCCATTTATAAATTAAAATAAACATGGTATACTTTTATAAATGTGGTACAGACTGTGGAACAATCTGCCCATGGAGATATGTCGGGCACCCTCATTTGTAAATTAAAATAAACATGGCATACTTTTATAAATGTGGTATAAAAGGTCACCCCACACCTGTGGAACAATCTGCCCATGGAGATATGTCTGGCACCCTCATTTAAATGAGCATTGAAAACTGGGTTCTTCCATTAAATTGCTGATATCACTGCTTCCCCTTTATCATCCTTTTGCCATCCTTTCATTATCCTTTCTACCCTCATTATAGCCATCTGTTTTAATTTATCCTACTAGTTAATGTATCTGTTGAATGTTCGTATTTTTAAATTCTTACTGTGTTTAAAATATTGTGTTATTCGTCTTGTTGTTGTTAGCTGCCCAGAGTGGCCTGGCTGCCAGATGGTGTGGGCTATCAATCTAATAAATAAACAAACTTTTTTTTACCTAAAAGTGCTTCCACATAGTGTATATTCAATACAACAATATAATTGAAGTGCACATATATCTGTCTTGTCTTCCTTCTGAGATAGCTGCTGACTTTAATACCAGAAATTGCCATTATACAGCAGCTATTTTAGAGAGATACTATAGCACTGTGGTAGGGGAAAAAGTCTTGTACTCATTGCCTTGCATTGCCAATGAAAATGTTCAAGAGGCAAGCCAAAACATCTCTGTTTGAACAATATAATTGAAGTGCACATATATCTGTCTTGTCTTCCTTCTGAGATAGCTGCTGACTTTAATACCAGAAATTGCCATTATACAGCAGCTATTTTAGAGAGATACTATAGCACTGTGGTAGGGGAAAAAGTCTTGTACTCATTGCCTTGCATTGCCAATGAAAATGTTCAAGAGGCAAGCCAAAACATCTCTGTTTGAGACCTTGAAGAGCTTCTACCAGTCCGATTTGGTGATTCTTGATTGCAACAGAAGACCACCACCACTTTGAAATGTTGGTGTAAGACATCTATCTATCCGCAAACCATATTAAAAGTGAGGGGAACTAAATGGAAAAGATTCTGAAGTGATGTAAGGAAATTCTGTCCTCCAAGATGAAATGATCTATCAAGACTAACCCACCAGCCATGTGCGAAGGCCTCCTGGACAATCCTTTTGACTCAGAAGTTCTAAGCTAACTGCAAAAATAGGACATACATACCTTTGTATAAACCTTTTGGCTTCTTCTGTAAATCTTTGAGTCATGTTCTCATACTTCCAGGGTTGCTGGATGATACTGTAATTTCTCATCAAAAAACAGTTGAGATGCCGGAAAGTATATAAGAAGAAGAACCAGATTCCGATTAAAACTGCAGCGATTAAGAAAAAACAGCCCAGTGCTCTGTGAGGAACCCTGAGGAGACCTATATAGTGCAGAACAGCCAAAGAGACGAGAGCAATCCCAGCGCTCTGGAGCACTGCAGGAATGTACATTTCACAGCCCTTTTTAAACACGCTTCCTTGCCCAGGTTTACAGTCTCTTAAATTGTTCACAGGAATCCCATAGAAATAATCAAATCCATGGCTTAAGGGATGGTGACAGAAATCATCACTGCTGTTGCAATTGATCCCAAGATGCCATTTGCCTAAGTGAAGGGAGAGAGAGAGAGAGAGAGAGAGAGAGAGAGAGATTCAGGGTATATTCTTGTGGCCTTCCCACATCATAAAAATAAAAATTAAAGATGGACACGCCCTTTCCTCTTTCCTTTTAACAATGTAAGCCTTGCATGGCCTTACCAGTCTTCCCATTTCCATCAAGGCTGTGGTTGAAAAAATGGCACCCACCTACTCATTCACTATATGAAGAGAGGTCTAGTAAGGAACCAAAATGGCATCTCAGAAGTCTATGACAATATCATCATGACAATAAGTCACAGAAAATGGGGCTGATATAACTGTGTGGCGTCAAAACTGAAATTTATTTTAGTTACCCTCTACTGAAGAAAACAGAGATGGGTGACAGGATTTTTGTTTCTCTTATTCGTTTATCAAAATAATGCTCCAGATTCTTTTGTTGTGATGACTGCCCTTCCTTTTAAGTCCCCCCCCCACGACTTCAGAGATTTTTGTAATGGTTAAGATCAATTTGAAATTTCATTGGCATTCTATCAAAGCAAAGCAAGTTGTTTAATGAAATGATAGCACTAGATACTTACGATGACTTCTTTCGTGTTGTGAAAGTAAATTTAAAGCTAACTAGATGGAAAGGTGACTTCAATGTTATTTCTCTAAATAAATAAATCAGAGTAAATGTAATCAGAGGTGTTAATAAAGTTAGCAAAAGGTTAAAAATCTGTCATGTAGTATCACCTCAACATATACATAATCCAGTCGCTCAAAAGATACCTAAGGTATTAACAAACTTTTCAGCTTCCAGTGAGTTATGCCTTTTTTTGTAACTTGGTATAAATAATGAAGATATTTCAAAGCTTTAATTGGTGACAAATATTTCAATCTGATGCTTATCATTCTTTGCATCTTCTGTTCTTTATAAAATGACCTATAGCTACCTTACTGTCATTCTGCTGTTTTAAACATATACTAATTTGAAGAATACAAAGTTTAAAAGTATGTTAAGCTGAAGGATACCAGACTGTCTGGAGAAGAATTTATAGAATCTTAAAATATAAGTCACAGTAAGTGGGACTGCATTAAAATTAGGGCTAGGAACATTTGAATGTTGTCTCTATATTTTCAGATTTTTTTTTCCTTCCATGTCCTTGGATATCCATTGGGATTCATCAGAGTGTCTCCTGTACTCCATTTTTACATAGTCTCTATCTAGCTGTGTATCGAAACATATACTCTAAAATATACAGATGTAAATATGCATTCTCATTTTGAAATCAGTGAGGCCATGGAGCCAGGGCTTGCAGGATCAATCAGTGCAAATATTTCAATTAACAGGCACCATGACATTGTATGCCAATCCCTTTGATCCCTCTGAGCTCAGCTGAAATCCTCACAGTAGGTGGGAATGAAGTCTGATTTTCCCAGCAACAACATACAGTTGTGCGCCATCCCTGTTGTAACACACAGTATTTTAGAGTATTCTGCATCTTATATAGTCAATTAAGACATTTCAGTTGCATAAAAGATCTGTTCCTGGTAGAAGTGAAAACTGATAGAGCACATATATGAAACATACAGATACATGGGTCGATGTGGATGCCTCTGTTTTTGGACTCTCTGTTTTTGGAGGGTTAGTTATGGGGGAGGCTATCATGAGGAGCATCTGAACCTCAAGATCTGTAGCCAAACCACTGCTGGAAATTTCTGCCTAGCTTGCTTACAATCTTGGATAGCCAGCTGTTGATATATTTTAGTTTCTCCTGAGAGAGAGTAGCTTGAATCAGTCACAGAGTCAGAAAGTATTGTTTGTGAATAATGTATTTCTGCAGTAGCTACTGGTTTCTATTTTATTTCTCCTGAGGGCTCAGTTTCTCTTTGAAAGCTCAGCTATTGCTACTGGACAGCACTCAAGAGTGGAGTAGGTTCGGCTGGATGGGGTTCACTTCTTTTTCAGCACTTCGTTTTTTGGTGGGTGTAACTGATTGTAGCTCAGGTATCTCACTTTCTTTTCTTTTTTCCCTCTTTCTTTCGTTCTTTTTGTCCCACGGTGAAACAAATCCTTATCCCTTTCCCCCCATATTAGCCGCTGCTGTTGGATCTAGACTAGTAATTCCTAACCTTGAGTCCCAACATGTTCCTGGACTACGACTCCCCAAAATTCTGGCCAATACAGCTAGTGGTGAAGGCTTCTGGGAGTTTTAGTCCAAGAGCATCTGGGGTCCGAAGGTTGGGAACCATTGGTCTAGAGGTACCAGCTGTGCCCAGGAGTGCTTTTCACCAGCTGAACCGCATTCTCTGGCAGTGTCCATTCCTAGAAAAGACCTTGCCAACTTTACAGCTGCTCTAGAGTTACATCTGCACACCACTATACGAGATTAGTGTGCTGATTAATTCTAGGGACTGTTTTTGAAAAGCATACATGCTGTGCAGAGTGTCCAGAATCCAGTGCTTAACTTTTAATAACAGCAAACTCATGAAACTTATTTGCCTGATCTTCTATTTCAGTAGTTTTGTGGAACGGAGGTACATGCACCCCAAGGTTTGGTTCACTCCCTGATTCAATAATTTGGAAACGTCCCTGATTTAGTTCATATGGTAACATTTTACTTCATTGATCTTCCCTCTTTTTTTTAATACGTAAACTGCTTTAGAGAACAATTGTGGGTTAAAAATCAGGAGAAAGTTTTCTAAAATAAACAGAGAATGAAAACCAACATTTACAAATCTATTCCTCTTACCAATAAGAGCAGTGGCATAACCCTTTTGCTGCAGAAGTTTTGCAAATGTTATTTCTTCTGTAGGCAGTCCACCAGAAGAGGCAGAAAACAGGAACACTCCTGTTCGATGCAAGCTAGTCATTCCTAAAGGAATCCAATATTATTTTGAAAGATGAGGCCCACGGGTTTTCATTAACAGAATATATACAATTTAAAATGAAACAACATCAGAACACTTTATAAGATTATCCATGGACTACGGGTAATAGATTGATTCAAGATTCCATATCAGTATGCCAGATCATTGTTTGGCTTATGGAAAGCTGATAATAAGTAGAACAACACTAGAGAAAATTTTTGTAATTGTTCTCCCTAGAGTTTTACAATATGTAAAACCACAAGTATGTAAAAACTACACTTCCTTGAATTGTATTCACAAAGGCTTTCACAGCCGGGATCTAAGGGTTGTTGTGGGTTTTTCAGGCTCTTTGGCCGTGTTCTGTTGTTCTTCCTGACGTTTCAGAGTTCCTACTCCAGTCCTCTGAAGATGCCGGCCACAGAGACTGGCGAAACATCAGGAAGAACAACCTTCAGAACATGGCCAAAGAGCCTGAAAAACCCACAACCACCACTGCCTTGAATTATTGGATCAGCAGGAGTTCCGCCATTTCCCTCCTCCTGCCCTAGGGATCGCCGTGCGCCACCTTCCACAATCTCATCCTTTCCCACCTTTTCTGATTGGATAATTCCTTATTCCTTCATTTCCATTTCTGTATCCTGCCATCTTCCACTGCCACCACCGCTGCCAATTAACAGGTTTTTAAAATCTTTCCTAACCATGGATGCACAGATGCTTAGCAGGTCTAAAGAAGATTCTCCACCTGAGTAAAAATATCCATATATAATATGGGGTAAGTGACAACATTAGTAAGGCTGTCACTCGACAAACATGCCTGTCCTAGCACCACAACCCAAACTGAATGCAGCCTCAGTGTAGATTCTTGGATAGGTCAGCCCACTTGTAATTCTCACACTATCTCCTTGAGAAAACATGCAGCTACCATGAAGTGTATGTTGAGTATTGTTACTATGAAACCAGCACAAATAGTTAGAATCACATACAGAATTACACAGAGCATAGATCTGGCTGAAATCTCTCGGCTTTCTTAGTTGGCCTCTTTTCAGCTCAAGTGGAATGGCCGACACAATGACAGGGTTTACCTTTCAGAAAAGGTATCCTGCTTATAGAACTCATTATCAACCCATTACTATGGGCCTGCTTGATGAAAAATGTTTTAATGTATTACTAGTTTTAATACACTCACCTTTATTAGTTATTGATTTGGGTTTTAATAGTGCATTCCTGGTGCATTGTGAATTTTGTAAGCCACCATGATACACCTGTTTTGTTCTATATAAAAATACAATTAACTCAATGAAACCTCACATGTGCTAGGAATTCATAGGGTGTTTTTTTGTTTTTTTTTGTTTTTTTTAGGGAAGTCTCTCTTAGCATCAGTTTGCACCACATTTTCAGAATGGAGTTGGCATGACCTGTCTTACAACACTGCAACAAAGATGACTGCATTATACTTATAAGCCGCTTTCAGCACTCAAAACTCCAGTACAAATGATGGTGGTGATAGCTACTATCGGGGCTTTGAACCAAAATAAAGGGACTGGCCTCCTTTCTCCTCATACTTTCAATTCCTCCTACATTTAAGCACTCTCTGATTCAGGGTAACAAGGAAATTCCACTTTGAGCTTCTGTTCTTGGTTGAAAATGTGAACAGTAAGTGGAGAGATTTTCAGTGGGTGAGGCTTTTGAGAAGGAGAAATATGTAAGGAAGGATAGGACATTCACTGAATCTTTTTCAGGCTGGATAGGAATAGCAGATTAGTTCATGGGCCAGAGGTTACCTGTACTACAGTATTCCCTCTATAATCAGCTATAAAAGCAAAAATCATGGTCATCGTTTTCTTCCATGTTACATTAATAAGTACAAGATATGCATGCAATTTGTCCCTTTCTCCTTAATGGGATAGTGGATCAAAAATATGGACAGAATTAGATTTATTGCAAGAGTGATGTGGAGGAGAGACAACAGTTACCATTCCAGTTTGATATATATATAAAGTAAAAGGATGGAACTTAAGTTGTCCACATGCATGAAGAGAGCTTAACTGATAAGTCCCCCCTACAAACAGATTCACTCGCAAGTTCAGTATAAACTCATTTAGTCTACAACAGCATTGCTTTTTATTTTATTTTATTGTTTGTTTTTCACTAAACATCTGGAAAATCTATGGAACATACAGAATTGTCTGGAGAGAAAGTGGGAAGCACCAGTAGAAACAATGGTTAAATCTGTGTCTCTGTTCGAAGATTATTGGTGAAATCATACAGATATACAGTCCTATCTGTGTCTACTGAGGAGTAGGGATGGAACTAATGCTTGTTAAATTCTTCTTTCTTTTTGATTGCACAACACATCCCAGTGAAAAATTTTTAAGATCTTGAGAGATTACTCACCTCCAGCTAAGATCAAGAGAAACATCTCCCCCTTCCACCAAAAGATAAGTAATAATAATCTCAGAACTCTGAAACTGACGGGGACCCTATGGATCATTGAATCGAGCCTTTGTCAAGGAAGCACAGTGGGGTATCAAATTCCTAACCTCTGGCTCCACAGCCAGAGACCAGAGCTATCCAAATACATGCAAAATTTCTTTATTCTTCCCATTTGAGAAGCAAAGGACATACACATATCTGGCGTTCACCCTCATGCCCCTTGCTTAACTGTCAAGACTCAGACCACACAAAGGCAAACAATCCCCTCTTTTACACTGCTGCCACCAGGTGATCACTACATCCCCATTTCTTCAGGAAGATGAAGATTCAGGTCCATACTTCAAAGTCATTTAAATATAACTTTTGTTTATTGATTACAGAAATTGATAGTGATTCATGAATATCTTCTTTAGGTAAATTTATTATTAACAACAATCTTCTATTTGAAAATACACTCCTAACTCTAATCACAGCTCAGATTTCTCCACACTCCACACTCTATCCCCTTCTCCATTTTCTCACTCTACTCATACTCTGACTCTGACTGACTCTTTCTTAGGCTCTGCCTCTTATCACATCTCTCTCGGCTCCACCTCTCAGCAACATGAATATGCATGAATAATTAACAAACATGAACCATTGACATAATAAAGGGGAACGCTAGAACATACTGCAAGTACAGAAGGAAGAAAGAAGCAAAGACCTCATACTGCACTTCAAATTCTTAATAAAATATTGTTCTAATTTCGGGCAATCCGTGTGACTTGAAAAATTTAATTGTTTTATATAAGAATGAGCAATTTTGTGCATGGGGGGGAAATCCAGGTATTTTAGTGAAATATTTTTTTTCTTAAGTGAAACATCCTTCTCTCCACTGTGACAATGCAATGAAAAGCCCCAGGAAATTCCTCACCATCTACTCCAGTAAATTCCTATTCTTTCTATAATTCTCATTATTTTCCATACCTGAATTCCCAGCATGTTAATTGGTGGTCTGTATCACTAAAGATTTTAATCGATTGCTCAGGCTAAAATCTGCACCAACTTTGATGGACTAAAGCAGATGACTGTAAGATACTGAAACTATCCTCTGTTTGCGATAACCAATTTCTTTGCTTCATTCATTCATCCACTAAAATGGCAAAACATGACACCTTCCATTTGGGAACTGAGAAACCACAGGGTGCTGAAACTAATGCATTAGGAAAAAAAAGATTGGCTGAAGGAGAAGGATTAATTATATTTAAAATTAAAATCTGTTATGAGACTGACAATGACAATCAGATTACCTGCTCCGTTCAAGAACGCACGAGGGCATAGCGTACTTTGGCATCAGGATGTGTTTCAATATAATTGAGAGTGTCCATAAATACTGAAAAATTATTTGAATTACAGATCACAATAACAATATATATATGTAAACAGACTTTACCTGATCTGACAGCATACCGGCCTGTCAAAAATGCAGCTCTGCTGGGGGTGCACAGAGGTGAGGCTGCAATGTGTTGTGTCAGCTTTACACCTCCTTTAGCTAATTTGTCAATATTGGGAGTTCTGGTGGAGGAGAAAAGCAACAGAATTTTAATGGCATTTGCATTCTGAATAAGTAAAAAGGAGCCAGCTGAAACCATTCAGCATTATGTATACACTTAGTATGCATTACAGAACACAGGCATTGTATGGTACAGAACTTCAATGTAGAGGCCAGGTCTATGCTGATTAAATGACATCAGTAGGACTGGGTGCACCTAAGCTTTTTCACATTTTAAATACAAACATAGTAATCCTATAGTACTAATCATGTATAGTCAAGTCAATTCTGACTTATGGCGACTCTTTTCAGGGTTTTTCAGATAGAGAGTACTCAGAGGAGGTTTGCCATTCCCTTCTTCTCAGGGTGCCCTGGGAATGTGTAGCTTGCCCAAGGCCACAAAGGCTGACTCTGCTTCTCAGGAGATACAAGGGGCAACTCAACTCCCAGTCTCTGGCTCGGCAGCCAAATACCTAAATCACCAAGCCATCCAGTCATCCAATCCTATAGCCAAAGCCAATATATACAGATCAAGGTGTTAACTTATGTGTCCATATGTGCACATTATGATAACATTTAGCAAATATATCAAACTAAAGGGAAATCTAGCCTTATGCCAGAGCTCTCCCCAAAATATGAAGGGTAGCAGCTGCATATACTAGCTCTATCCTCTACACATCTACACAGACACCAGCCTCTGTCCCATGAGTTCCTATCGCTGCCAAATGTGAAGAAATGCTAAAATGTGAAGAAACCTTTCAATACATGATCACTTGACTAAAAGAGAACTTTTCACATGCTCATATAGCTGCCTTTTTTAAATCACCAAACTGCCTTGAAGACTGTTTAAATACTACAGTTAGCTCAAAATTCATGCTACACTGATTTTAACCTGCTATGTGACCCAATATATTTTGTCCATGGTTAAACAAATGAACAAGTTCATTTCTCAAGATAATTCCAAGTCTCTATGGGAGGTGCAGTTCTTTTCTTTTTTTACAGGAAGTAGATCCTGAGACAGCTTGAAAGACAGGCCTTGTTCCAAGTGAATGAAACATAGGTGTGTGTCTATGGGTAGGATCTCCCAGAAATCTTCCTGGGGAAGTCTTGGAGAATTCTGGGGGTTGGAGTCCAAAAAAACACAAAAATAAACAAAAAAGGATGACACATCTTATTCCCTGCTCTGATACTTCACAGATATATTATAATACTACATTCCAGGTGGGGCTACTCTCAAGAGAGTTTTGGTATTCAGCACCTTCATGCAGAAGTTTGTAATATTATGAGAAAAGCTCATAATAGTTTCATAATATCTTCACACAATATGGACACCATAAATATCAATAAATTAATGTTTCTCTCTCCCTCTTAGCTTTACCTAGCTGCATGCTTTCTGGCACTTAGGCAAATTTAGGAAACCTTTTCAGAGCTCTGAACTGCTGAGTCTTTGGGCCTACTTTTGAGTCATGCTACAAAGTAGCTTCTCCCGCCAACCTAGCAGTTCGAAAGCATGCAAATGTAAGTAGATAAATAGGGACCACCTCAGTGGGAAGGTAACAGCATTCCAAGTCTAAGTCGCACTGGCCATGTGACCACAGAAGATTGTCTTCGGACAAAACGCTGGCTCTATGGCTTGGAAACGGGGATGAGCACCGCCCCCTAGAGTCGAACATGACTGGAGAAATATTGTCAATTTACCTTTACCTTTTTACAAAGTAGCTTGGACTAGTTTTTAGTTTTGCTGTGATTATATGACATTTATATTAATGTCATAATTTATTATTATTTTAAATATTATTCTAAGCCACAATAATTAAAGGTTTTTGAGTGTGGTGAGGATGGCAGAGTTGAATACATAAAATAAAATAAATATGAATAAAATGGATTATTTCCTTCTCTGTAAACCTAATGAATCTACTTCTAATCAATTTGGTTAAAAGACTTGTGGGGGGGGGAGAGAGAAATTAGTACTTTTCTACCTTCTTCAGCTTCTCAAAGTCCAAATATATTGCAGCCAAGATGTTCTAGAACTGCCACTTTGGCTATAGCCTATTTTGATTCAGAGCACTGAAAAAAGCTGAAACCAACATGATTTTTCTACAAAACTTTAATATTTCCATTCTGTTAGTCTCTAGATAGTTAAATAGACAAAGAGATGATACATGAGGATCAAATTGTGGTTGTACTCTTAGAATGTTGCTCTTTGATCTCTCTCAGTAAACCTTTATCTACATAGAGGTATGTGTCAGATTTTATTTGGGATGAGGAAGAATCACTGAAGCCCAAGTATGTTCTATCACATTTTTAAATAAATCCAGCACATTTATCACCAAGAAGTGTTAGCAAACCTTAGAGTTGTGTTTCCATAGCATCCCAAGTCTCCGATGCCAAGGTCATCAGCCATGAATAGGATAACATTTGGCTCTGAAATCTTTTCATTTATAGCATTGCTTGTTGGACACAGATAAAGCATCGAAAGTAGAAGAAACATCATTCCACTCTTTCAAGTGAGATTATTTCAAAGATACCTGTTTTATAAATAAATGACATGTTATTAATCTTTTGACACACAAATCAGCATAATTTTTTTTCTGTGCAATTACAGCAATAACAATGAAATTGGAGCAGGGAAGAGATAATTTGTGATTCCAGCAATTATTTAAATTATCACTGTTTACAAACAGAATGTTGAATTTGACCTTTCCTATTTTTAAATGCTTTCAAAAAATATCCAACCTTGTACAGTAGATAAGCAGAAACAGCTAACTAAATTTTAGCAAAGGGAGTATACTTTTCAGTTATTTTATTAACATTCAAGGATTACATCAGAATATGATTTGGGGCATAACACAGGCAGATAGAAGCAAACAAATTGCAGTCTAAAACAAAAGTCTACAAAAATATATTTTGCATTTTCATCTTGGCTCAGATAAAAGTGTGTAAAGAAAGAACAATAGTATTCATATATGACATATCTACAAAGAATTTTTTGTTAGTTTTTAATCCCAAAATTGGTTGTAGATCTTCCACAGAGGAAGCCTGTCAGACAAGTACAGTGAAGGTTAGTCTTAACCTCACAACTTTTCGTTCAATTTGCCCTTTCCAGGCTCCACTTCAGAGAGTGGCCAGAAGAAATGATCTTATTCTCTTGCTCAAAATCTATGGACTGGAACAGGGGCATAGCACTAAGCCCAAGGCAGAACGCTTATAAGAAGGGCAGTCTGTGCTGTGGCAGAGGTCATTGAAAGTTTCAGCAGCCATTGCTTCAACCAAACTCCATGGAGAAAAGAACACAGCGAGCATGTTGCAACCTACAAAAGTTGTCCCTGCAGGGAGGGCAGTCTAAGCAACATTTCATAGGGAAGGTGTCACAGTTGACAAAACTCAGGTTGAAGACACCTCCTTCTGATTCTTAGAACACTTGCTGGTTTTGATTACAGCAGTTATTTATAAACCATGATGGTTGGCAACACACACACATACTGGTCTGCAATCTTTCTCAGCTCAGAGACACTTCCAGCATCTGTGGGTGAGGGTTCAGGTTCTTGCACAGCACAAGTCAAAAATGAAAAAGATTACCACCTTTTGGTACCATTCATTTATATTAAAAGGAGGCTATAGTTCTTTGGCACTTCCTGTTCTTCTTCTACCTGAGCTGAGGTTCTAGTGTAGATAATGTGGAGCTTATTATTTATTTACCCCACCTTTCTCCTTCAAAAGACCCAAGGCAGCTCTTCCCAACAGGTTCCCTGGTGCTCACCACAGTAGCATTATGTCTTAGAGGCAAGGGTATATGCTAAAACCTGAAAGCAAAACTAGGTTGCAGCCAAAATGGCTCTTGTGAGTTATCCCAGAACGATGGAATGGTACAAATGAGGGACATGGAGGCCACTTGAAAAATTTCTTGTTCTTGGGCGTTTTCCCAAGTCTCACTATAGTGAGTTTCCTTGCTGAGACATTGCGTCCCAGGAATGAGATCTCACCAGGAACCCTGGTTTTATATTTCCTGTTTATTTCATTTGTTTGTTTGGTTTTTTTTCATCTGTTCAAGAACCGTGTTAAAGAGGCAGCATCTTGTCCAGGAACTGGAACAAGACTTGGAATAATTTGTATGACTTCTGGTAAAAGAGTAGACACGTTCTAGATGGGCAATAAATAAATAAATAAATAAATAAATAAATAAATAAATAAATAAATAAATAAATAAATAAATAAATAAATGAAACAACCTACAATGAAACATCCAAGAATTCTGATGACATTTCCCACAAGATTTCTCAAAAAAGCACCTTGCTTAGAAAAAGCTCACTGCGAGAGAACAAGAGATTTTTTTGTCTCTCACTTTCTCATTGAGTGTATGAAGTTATCTCTGAGTCAGAGACAGTGGCTGAAATCCTGCTGTGCAATTATACAAAAGGTGTACCATTTTGAGGCAAATTGCCATAAGTTCAGAAATCTATATACACATTATTGCATTGTGAATCATGCGACAGCAAAGATAGATTGCCTAAAATAGGAAGAGTGTATTCAGCCTAATCTGGTGAACAACAAGGAGTGGCTATTTGTGGCATTCTCAATGCAAACCACAATCTAATTTTAAAAGAAGCATGGGGGGAGGGGGGCAATATGGAAACTAAAACTCATTTAAAACTTTTTGAGAGGAAAGGTGGAGATTAACTGAGAGCAAAAAGCAAATCCCCTCTTAGAAATCCAATTTGTAATAAAAGGCGATCACTTGCTTTAGATCTGTGCTCCGATTTCTGCCTTGGACTAGTGGTGTATGGGTGACTGCATATGTTTGGAAGATCACAGTAGTACGTAAGTCAGAATAGGCTCATTGAATTAGTGTGGATTTGGTGAGTCAACAGCTACACCCATTCCTTTGATTCAATGGACCTGAATTCTGACTCAATACTGGATGTCAGCCAGTATCTCTAAAGGAAGGCATGCATCACTATATGTAAGGTAATAAAATTATCTAAGAGTAAGTTTATGGTTTTTAAAAGGGCATTTTATTAAAACTGAGTATTAAATGACAGTTCTAAACACAATGGAAAACCAACGTAAACAGCTCTGCGTGTTTGTTGAAATTAAGAAGGTGTGCTTATGCGGATGTGCATATGTGCATGTGTGTTGTTTTGTTAAAGGGAATCATAGATGTTTCAACTTTACAGAGATGTACAAGACCGTTTGACAAGAACAGAGTGCAAACACATCATATTCTGCTAGTGTTGGGTGGGTGGCTGGCTTGGCCTTCTTTGGCCTTCTTAGTCTCTCTCTATGAAATTTAGTAAGAGATGGCAAATGTTCATTGTAAACAAACAAAACAAACAAAAAGCCCTCCCATGCCAAATAAATCATTGTCCTCTCCCCATAAGCCAAAAGCAGTTATCTCACAAATCACCGCAATCACACAATGACCCTCTGGACCTTCTGCAGTATTTGAAGGAAACACCAATACTCATAACATCATGGTTGCTATTCAATGTGTTAAAACAGTTCCAGATAAAAAAATTCAGGAGTCATTTGTTACAGTGAGGACAGTGCTTTCATGGATATCTCTTACCTTCCTCTAATGAATGACCTGGCACATCTTTATTGCATAGATATAGCTGCATGAAGTGCCCTCATTCACATCATTCTCCACGTAATTTTCTTTGTTTCTTCATTGATTTGATGGCATTTCTAACCTGAAATGGCTCGTGCAATACCTGTTCGCTCCAATTGAGCATTGTTCAGTGTGCAGTACTGATATAATTAACAGGCTAAACTGAATTTTCATATCATAATTCATATCAAAATTCAATTTTCACATCATAATTTTCTCATGTCCTGTGGTCTATTTTTTTTTCAAGAAGTATAGGCAGAATTCAGCTTGCATTTACATGAATACACACCTCACTACACCTCTTTTCTCAGTCCTAAACACAACCGTAAAGAATTAAAAAACTAAAACATTAGAGCTTAACACTTCACTAAATCCTGGTGGAAAAAATAGTTTGGTCGGTTTGCACTCCTGTCTCTTCAAAAATGTTTTGACCCCTTCTTCTTTCCTCACCAATGAGCATGGTCTCCTCCACACTTTTATGCACAAGGTGGCAACACCTAGAAAGGGAGATCTAAGCTTGCTGTGTGCTTTTGGAAAATCCAAATAATTAAGCTGGCCATGTGCAATAATTTGCTCAAACTCATGAGTTCTGCTCTGCAACCTCACTATGTTTATGCATTTTGTTTGCATACCTAAAAAGGAGAAGCTTCTCAGTACAGGCTTGGACACCATGTAGAACTGCCTCTGCAGAAGGTGCCAAAGCATCTGGAAGTTTACTTGCTTTTAGCTCTCTCCCAGCCACACCTACCCAAATAGGCTTTCCTCTGTGTGTGTGTGTGTGTGTGTGTGTGTGTGTGTGTGTGTGTGTGTGTGTGTGTGTGTGTGTGTGTGTGNTCAAGGTTTAGCCAGGAAGTCACAAAACACATGGACAGTGTACAAAGGGGACCTTTGATAGTGCCTGAAGCAATGATACAATATACAGTAGCCACCCTCAGCTCCTATGAGCAGCTATAAATATTATTAATAAAACTTGCATGCATTAAGTATTATTATACAACTGTATTTTGCACTGTTTCATTAGTACTGCACTTCAGGAGACATAATAAAAATGAATGTTGATGTTGATTCAGAAATTAATCTAATCTACATGTCAGTCTCATGTGCTCTGCGGTAGAAATCGCCACATTGCACAATCCCCGTCAACATTTTTGAAGAGCACAAGTTGCACAGTAAAATGTGATGCTCTTTAAAAAGTAACCAAACTGCTGGGAATGTTTGCAACCTCACAGGCTGCCTCTAATAGGTGCGGCTGAGGTGATTGTCAATCTATCCAGCACTAACTAATCGTTCCTTCACTGCCTCTGAGTCCAGAGACCCACCTCTCTGCTTTTTGTCTCTTTCCCCCTCGTTAGTGTGTTGAAAGCAATCAGTCTATTGAGGCATGTTGCTGAAAGTCAGTGAGCTATGTTTGTTCAGTTTGCTGTAGGTCTGTTCAACTGTAAGTAAATGAAACTTTTTATTCTTTCTCTTAATAATGTCTCAGAGTGAGTTATTGAGACTGTAAGTGCTAGTTGGTGAGAAGAAAAGGGGTGAACTAAATAGGGGAGTTTTAAGTTAATTCTGCTCTGTGAATCCCTGCACTTCTGCTGCACAGCTAGAGGAGTTTAATACAGTACAAATCTCTCTCTCTCTCCCTCTCTGTCTGTCTGTTTCTTTCTTTCTTTCTTTCTTTCTTTCTTTCTTTCTTTCTTTCTTTCTTTCTTTCTTTCTTTCTTTCTTTCTTTCTTTCTTTCTTTCTTTCTTTCTTTCTTTCTTTCTTTCTTTCATCTAGACCAAAGGAGTTTCATTTAACTGTTGTTTGACATCTAATGTCATCTCTTCATCTGATCTACTATTTGGATAAGACGTTCATTTACTTCCTGAAAATCTACTGTTATTATATTTTGCATGGTAGTCTGCCATTCTTTGTCTGATTCTTGT